TTTTGTATTTTTAGTAGAGACGGGGTTTCACCATGTTAACCAGGATGGTCTCGATCTCTTGACCTCGTGATCCACCCGCCTCAGCCTCCCAAAGTGCTGGGATTACAGGCTTGAGCCACCGCGCCCGGCTTAGTTTCTTTATCTTTAAATGGTAATTATAACAGTTGTTGTGAAGATTAATATCAGATGTTTAGAAAAGTACCTGGCATCTAGTGAGTATAGTATAATTGTGGTATTAGCAGAAAGCAAAGCAAGTAACCTTTTGTTGCGTTTTTGATTGACTGGACTGAGTTGGGGAGACTTCAAGGGAGAAGAGAACCACATGACAGAGCAAATCCTGGTTGTAGCCAAGGCTAACTTACTGGTACTTCCTTGTTACTATCATCTTGCTTAAGTGACCTGGACAAAGCAGAGGTGGTGAATGGGAGAATAGAGGTTGTTAAATTAGGATTCTGGTGTAGTGGCCAGCACACTTAATGCTTGTTGTCAGAACCTGGGTTAAACACTGGAAATAGACACTTTTTTTCTGGTTTAAGCATTCAAAATCTAAAATGACCTCAGAAATATATAGTTTGTAAGCTTATTCAAAACTTCCCCATAAATGTCAGTGTTACCATAAAATACAACGAACGGTTAGCTAGCTATACTAGTTAAAACAGTGATCAGGTTACCTATGTAAACATGGTTCTTACCAGTCCCAGAGAATCAATGCTTCTGTCATTTAGGGTAGAATTAGGGACAATTTGGGTATAGCCTCCAGTTCAGTTTTCCATTTCCTTTCCAACTTCAGACATATATTTCCCATTAAAAAGGAAAGGACAGATTTTGTAAACATTTCTTTAGCACCTTGGAATCCTAGCAGTCAGTCTATTCATGCTGATAGAAGTCCCTGTGACGATGTCCTTTAGTTGAAAGCACAAAAATATAAAAGAGATCTAGAGAGGGCGGGCATTTTATTATTCTTGGATATCCTTTCTCTGTTGAACAAAACTGATGTGACTATTTCTGTCCCATTAGGAGCTCTTGTCCCTGGCAAAGCGAAAACGCAGTGACTCTGAGGAGAAGGAGCCACCTGTGAGTCAGCCTGCAGCGTCGTCAGACTCAGAGACGTCTGACAGTGATGATGAGGTGGGTGTGGAGGGCCTCGGCTTCTGGGACGTTAGATAGTTGAGGGTCCTCGCATTGGTGGCTCTTGTTGGCCTCATTTCCTTAAACTGAGACTTACAACCTAAGAGATAGAAGAATTTATTAGGGAAAGAAAATGGTGTAAGGAAAGCTGTTGAATGTCATGTTCATCGTACTGCTAGTTATCTAATGGGTCCTTCTGCAGGACGTGTGTAGCCATTCTGTAGCTTTTTTTTTTCAGCCTTATTGCAGAAGTGGTACACTTAGTAATCATCTTTTTTTGTTTTTGAGTCATCTTTTATTTTTTTTGTTTTACTTTGTTCTTGCTGTTGTTTTTTCACATCATAAACTTTTGCTGCAAGAACTAATGAGTCATCTTTTAAATCTCAGTTTTATTTGTTTGCTTGTTTTTAATCTCACTTTCGTGTTAGAAAATAAAGCCCGGGTACAGTGGCTCACACCTGTAATCCCAGGACTTTGGAAGGCCTAGGCGACCTGATCACCTAGATCACCTAGGCGACCTAGATCACCTGAGGTGAGCAGTTCAGGATCAGCCTAACATGGTGAAACCCCGTCTCTACTAAAAATACAAAAATTAGCCGGGTGTAGTGGCAGCCACCTGTAATCCCAGCTACTCAGGAGGCTGAGGCAGGAGAATCGCTTGAATCTGGGAGGGGGAGGTTGCAGTGAGCTGAGATTGCACCATTACTCTCCAGCTTGGGCAACAGAGCAAGAATTCGTCTCAAAAAAAAAAA